CCAGCACGTCTTGCATGGATCTGAAAGAGGGGTCGTTAGCACCCAAGCGTAGGGGTCTCGCCCAACTTGAGATTGAGTTTAGCTGGGATCGCAGATTGGGGTGAAGCCGCAGCTTGTTCCAAATGTGGCTTGCTAGATAAACTGCAGTAATAATAATAATAATGATAAAGTTGGAAGGGACCTTGGAGGTCATCTAGTCCAACCCCCTGCTCAGGCAGGAAAGCCTATATCATTTCAGACAAATGGCTGTCCGGTCTCTTCTTAAAAACTTCCAGTGTTGAAGCATTTACCGCTTCTGGAGGCAGGTTGTTCCACTGGTTAATTGTTCTAACTGTCAGGAAGTTTCTCCTTAGTTCTAGGTTGCTTCTCTCCTTGATGAGTTTCCATCCGTTGCTTCTTGTCCTGCCTTCAGGCGCTTTGGAGAATAGCTTGACTCCCTCTTCTTTGGGGCAGCCCCTGGGATACTGGAAGACTGCTATCATGTCCCCCCTCGTCCTTCTCTTCATTAGACTAGACATACCCAATTCCAGCACAGGTAGACCTGGACTTATGTTGCTAAGTGAGATCTTGGTTAGGTGAGTTTTGCCTCATTTTGTGACCTTGCTTGCCACAGTTTTTAAGTGAATCACTACAGTTGTTAGTAACACAGTCTCCCCCATTGACTTTGTTTGCCAGAAGGTCGCAAAAGGGGATCCCCTGACCCCAGGGGGACACTTCAACCGTCGTAAATACGAGTCAGTGGCCAAGCGTCTGAATTCTGACCACGTGATCTTGGGGATGCTGCAACGGTCGTAAGTGTGAAAAACGGTCGTAAGTCACTTTTTTCCAGTGCCGTTGTAACTTTGAGCGGTCACTAAAGAAGTCGGGGACAACCTGCAGCTGGACTTGTACAACTGGCAAAGGCAGATTGCCGTTGCTTTGGTTTGGTCTTAGCCTGCATAACGAGCCTTTTGTGGTTTGTGCCATTATTGCAGTTAAGCAATCCTGGCTCAACTGTCGTTTGTGAAACCATCCCAATTAAATAAAGTGTGGCTTATGCAATGGATGTAATCGTCTTATATAGAGATGTATATAAAGGTCACGATTAAGCAATGAATGACTTAGGGGGGGGGAAAACACCACCCAGGAAATCATGGTCCGAAATGGTATAGGGTTTCCTGCCTGAGCAGGAGGTTGGACTAGATGACCTCCAAGGTCCCTTCCAACTTTATCATCATCATCATCATCATCATCATCATCATCATCATCATCATCATCATCATCTGGATAGATGGTTATTTATCAGGGGTCAAAATTCAATATTTGCAAGAATGCTTTCAATAATGTGTAATTATAAAAGCCGATAGTTTCCCCCTCTGCTTTTCATTTTTCAGCTTGAGTTTTCCAGAAACAATGGCTGACTTTATATTGCATGCTGCAAGGGAAAAAGGCCTATGCCACATTATTAGCCCAATCCAGCTTTTTTTCAGTCCGTGGCCCTTGAAGGTCTGTTTTTGGCAAGCCTCTCATTAATCTGAAACTGAAAATCATTGTACAGTATTTCAGAGATGCGGAGGGAGGTAAAAGCGAGAGAATCTGCAGCGATGGTTTGAAGTTACAATGGCACTGAAGAAAGTGACTTACAACCGATCCTCACACTTAGGACCACTCTGGCACCCCAATGCTTACGTGATCAAAATTTGGGCACGTGGCGACTGGGGTGTCTTTTCGACAACTGCAGTGTCCCAGGGTCACGTGATCCCCATTTGCAACCTCCCCACAAGCAGAGTCAAGACCACGCCCGAGAGCTCGGTCCTGTCCTTTCTTTCGCCTTTTGCAACTTCATGCAGGGGTTGAGCCCAATCAACCCTTAAATGATTTATAGCCCAGTGAAGGGTGCAGAAGCAGAAAATGGATTAATCCATTAACCAGATTTTTGGTACGGGGGGGGAGGGAGTGTCTACAGGGTGTGGTCAAAAATGTCAAGAGAGGGGTTATGCAATGCAATCAAAATTCCAGCTATTTTTTTTACATGTAACACACATGGAGGAGGAGGAGGTGGTGGTGGTGCAGGAGGAGGAAGAGGAGAAGGAGAAGGAGAAGAAAAGAAGAAGAAGGAGAAAGAAAAAGAGGAGAAAAAAAGGAGAGGAGGAGAAGAAAAGGAGAAGGAGAAAGAGAAGGAGAAGAAGAGGAGGAAGAAGGAGGAGGAGGAGAAAAGAAGGAGGAGGAGGAGGAGAAGGGAGGAGAAGAAAAGGAGGAGGAGGAGGAAGAGAAGGAGGAGAAGAAGAAAAGAAGAAGAAAGAGAAGGAGAAGGAGGAAGAGGAGGAGAAAAGGAGGAGGAGGAAGAGGAGAAGGAGAAGAAAAGAAGAATGAGAACGAGAAGGAGAAGGAGAAGAAAAGGAGGAGGAAGAGAAGAAGAAGAAGAAGAAGAAGAAGAAGAAGAAGAAGAAGAAGAAGAAGAAGAAGAAGAAGAAGAAGAAGAAGAAGAAGAAGAGGAGGAGGAGGAGGAGGAGGAGGAGGAGGGGGGGGCGCGGGCGGTCTGATGGGCTGGCACAAGAGGGGGCAGTTTTAATAGCTGCTTTTCTTGCCTGGGACCCTCCTTGCTTTCATAGACGGAACAGGCCCGAAAGAGACGCCTTGCAAAAATGCACCCCCAGACCCCCCCCTTCCCTTTGGATGATTGTACAGCTGCCTGCTCCTTCCGTCCACTTCGGTTCATGCTGAACATCTTAAAATTAACAGGTTTTGGCCCTTTGCCCACCTCCTTGCTGCAGGGTGGAGCAGAAAAAAGGAACAGAGGCAGCCTCAAGAATTCAGAAGTGGTGCCAAAGCCAAAGAAATAAGGAAAAATAAAATAAAATAAAAATAAAATAAAACAGGAGGCAGGGATGAATGGAGGAGAAAGAGAAACACAAAATAATGTCTGGCTCTAAGATAAATGGATTCAACCCTAACCAACCAATCCCTGGTTCTTCCCTTCCCCATCTACAGAAACACACACACACACACACACACACACACACACACACACACCACCTCTGGTTTTGTTCCAACTTGCCTGACTTGATCAAAGCAATTAAAGGGAAGAGTTCCTTTCAGGCTGGAGGGAGGCGACCCCCAAATTGTATTTATTTTCAGGGAGCAACCAGCAAGTTGAGAGTACCTCTGCATTCAAGTAGCTGCCCATGAAAAACAGGATCCCCCCCCCCCCCCCGGGAAGAGAGAGGTGTTAGCTGGGTTTGCACATCACACAAAGGGCACTTCTAGGCAGCCCGGAGTACCAAAGGTGGTAGATATGCTACTGTCCTGGACTTGAAAAAGTTGCATGATTGTGCAACAGAGCCTCCACGTTTAAAGGCAGTATATCAGGGTACATTAGCTACTGAGGGGAGGGGGGAAAGAGGAAGGGGGCAGACATCATCATTATACCCTGCCTTCTGAGATTCTCATAAAGGCTCCTTGGGTGTTTCTGGATGCTTCCTCGGAAAGGGGCCTGGCGAATTCCAGAGCCAGAGGGGGCAGGCTGCTTGACCGATGTGACGGCAGAGAAACCAAAACAGAGGAGAGCTTTGTCTTCCTGGTGCCACAAAAATGAGGAAGCTCTGAGGAGTAAACTTCCTCTGGTTTTCAAACACCAGCAAGAAGAACGGCCTCGTTGAAGGGGTTGTGGCCAAACCCTCCAAAAAAGAAGGGGTGTCCCAAGTGTGTGTTAAGATAGTCCTGGCTGAAACATGGTCCATAGGTCCCTTGACCTCTAAAGAGGGAGAATGGAATAGAATAGAATAGAATAGAATAGAATAGAATAGAATAGAATAGAATAGAATAGAATAGAATAGAATAGAATAGAATAACACATGGAATAGAGAAGAGAAGAGAAGAGAAGAGAAGAGAAGAGAAGAGAAGAGAAGAGAAGAGAAGAGAAGAGAAGAGAAGAGAAATAGGGTAGAGTAGAGTAGAGTAGAGTAGAAGAGAAGAGAAGAGAAATAGGGTAGAGTAGAGTAGAGTAGAGTAGAGTAGAGTAGAGTAGAGTAGAGTAGAGGAGAAGAGAAGAGAAGAGAAGAGAAGAGAAGAGAAGAGAAGAGAAGAGAAGAGAAGAGAAGAGAAGAGAAGAGAAGAGAAGAGAAGAGAAGAGAGAATTTTATTTGGCCAAGTGTGATTAGACACATAAGGGAACACAAGGGGAGAAGCAGCTTAGACCGATGCCTGATCTCTCGGATTTTCTGTACCCTGGTTGGATTTGTAAAACATATTAGTTTGGGGCAAAGCATGATTGGGTGGTTGTGGGAACCCTAGCTGTGAATTCATCTGATGTACACTCCTTTGGGGATGAATTTCTTTAGATGAATGCAGCCATTCTGTTACGCTATGTTTTGTGAGATCCAATCTGGGTCGGTCACCAGCCCCAGAGGTTTTGTCTTCCGAGCTTTCAAAGTCATGCTGGACCTCAGTGGAACTTCTCTCTAGCAGAGTGTGTGCTGTTCTGTGTGTGGCATTTATATGGTGCCTGTTGTATGTGGCTTTTTAAATATTGATTGGGGTATATTGATGGCTGGCTATTAAGTCATTGGCTGCTATTAGCTTGTACTGCCCCACAACAGCCAATGACTTAATAGCCAGCCATCAACACACCCCAATCAACATCTAAGAAGCCACATACAACAGGCACCATGTAAATGCCACACACAGAACAGCACACACTCTGCTAGAGAGAAGTTTCCTGAGGATGGGCTCCAGCATGCATCAGAAAGCTTGGAAGACTAAACCTCTCGTTCTGGTGACTGGCCCAGATTGGATCCTACAACATTATCCTGGGACACGTATATTCGCCTTCATTATGGTTTGTGGGTTGTAGGAATCCAGCCACACAAGAGTTAGATTCACACATGACAGTTAGCCATCCTGCAGTTTGATTAAGATTAGCTTAATGAGTTGTGTAGCCTCACCATTCTAGGTGCGTAAAAGGTGGTTTGAACAGACCCGTGTTTTAGTTCAAAGGGCATCTAGGGCACAGGTTGACTAACCTTCTTTTAGTGAGTTCTTCTCTGCAGATTCTTCCTTCTTCTCAAAGACCTCCAGAGGCTGGTCCCCAGACTCTTCCAATGGGTCAAACGTCGGCTCTGGATCTGAAGCCTTGGAAGCATCTTGGCAGGAGACGGAGTCAATCGGAGCAGGGCAGTTTTCTCTTGGGTTGGCCAAAGCTGGGCTCCCTTGTGGAGCTGGCACTGTCATTGGATAACCAAGAAAAGAGGACTGGGAAGTAGCTTGAGCAGTTGGAGATTGAGAGACAAGCTGGAAAGAGGCAGACTGAGGACAAGAAGCTGTTATCTCTGTTTCTGATATCTCTGGAAGGCTTCCACAAGAGGTCGTTAGGGAAGTATCATGGGTTATGATCATTTGATCTTTGTTGATCAGTTCTGGAGACGGAGGAGACAGGCTGTGGCCAAGGCTGATCTGAAGCTGGGCCTTAGGCAAAGATTTGGGCCCAGGATCAGCCACAGAAGGGAGAACACAACCAACTGGGGGGTTTCCAATTAACCTGTCCAGGCTGGTGGGAAATGTTTGAAGCTTTGAGGTTTGCCTAGAGGCCAAAGAAGCCGTAGAAGTCACATTCGCCAACTGGCTTACCTCCATGGTAGAGAAAGGAGAATCCTTTCTCAGTAACGTTCCATTCTTTGGAAGAGGCGAGATGGGATTTTGGTCTTGGGAGCTCCACCTGTTGGTGGGGTCAACGTTTGAGGTGGAGCAAAGGGTAGGACTGGGCCCCTGGTCTTCTGCGATATGCAAGTCAAGGGATGGCAAGGAGCCGTGATTCACAGTGGGCTTGGAGACCTGCCGGATGGGACGCTCCACCTCGGGATGAAAGACATTCCCATGGGAAGAGAACTTCTTCTGCAAAGGACTAGATAGCTGAGACATCTCGATTGCAGAGGACTCAGATTGCCGAGCGGGATTCGGAGGGCATCTTGTGGGAGTTGGACACCCCAAACTGGAAGAAGAACTGTGAAGACTCTCGTCACTTCCTGGCCCTAAAGATGAAGAGAATCCATTGGGATTCAGCCGAGTTTGGAAGGAGGACACCCTGATGAGGTTGGTCCCATTGGCCCGAGGCAAATGAATGGTGCCTCGGTTGAAAGACAAGCTGTTAGTGATCCTGGCTTTGGGGATCGGACTGTGTGAAGGACTGGGGATGTTGCTCAGGCCGATGGGAGATTGGTAGATATTCTGCATGGGTCCCCTGATTCTTTTCCCCTCTCCATTTTCAGATGGGCAGGGATTTAGAGAAGGTCTGGTTGAACACGAAGTGACCTCTTCTACATCTTCCATCTCAAAGGACCTCTTTAAGGCTGCAGAAGAAAGCAAGAAAGGACACAAAAACTGTCCATTAGCCCAACAGTGCTCAAATATTTTGCCTTCGTTGTACAGATCCCTTAGAAAATTGTAGGGCTGTTGAACAAATCAGTTCTCCAGCTTGATCTCTACTCTATCAATCAAAGGCTATTTCTGTACTTACATTTTAATGGCCTTTACTGTTTCAGCATTATATTCTCTGGTTTTTCTTCAGCTCCTATAAATCTTTCACCTTTTACTAAAGGTTTCCGTGGAGAGACACATTTATGTGTTTATAACTAATTTTCTGAGGATCTCCCTCCCTTCCCATTTTTTAGTTAGAGTTGTGTATTTATCTTTTTTTTAATATTTAGTTCCTATTGTATAGTTTTTCTAAAATTTTATCTTTATTAAACTCTGGAAACTGCCCAGAGTTACCTTGTGGTAAGATAGGTGTTCAAGAAATTTAACAAATAAGTAATAACAATAACAACAACAACAACAACAATAATAATGGATAGTGAACAACAGAATAGAAGAGAAAGAACTGGAGAAGATAACAAAATACAAAGACCTACAAATAGGAATAGAACGACTGTGGCAAAGGCAAGCAAGAGTAGTACCAATAGTAATAGGCGCCTTGGGTGCAATCCCAAAACAACTGGAGCACCACTTGAACACCATTGGCATTGACGAATTCGCTATTAGTCAATTGCAAAAGGCGGCCTTACTAGGAACTGCTTCCATCCTGTGACGTTATCTGTAATACCATGAAATATCCACATCTGCCTATCCCAGGTCCTTGGGAAGGACTCGATAGGTAGACAAAAATGCCAAATCCAGTCTGAACATCTGGCTGACTGTGTGATGATTAATCATCATCATCATCATCATCATCATCATCATCAACAACAACAACAACAACAACAACGGTCATCTTACAAAAATACACCTCTGATGATAGGCTGGCGAGTTGGTTTCCTTTAGGACAGACATGTCAAAATCGCAACGTCACATGATGTCGCGCGATGTATCGGAGCTTTTTCCCCATTGCTGACAATGGGGTGGGCATGGTTTCGTCGGGATGTGTCCAGCCCATGGGCTGGCAGTTTGACACCCCTGCTTTAGGAGGTGCATTTTCAGGGAAAAGATGGGAGGCTGCCTCAGCATCGGATTATGAAAATGTGTACAGGCAGTCCTCCAGTTACGGCTACAATTGAGCCCACAATTACAGTCATACATGGCCGTCATGACATGGCAGTTTTCCAAATTCCATAATCGGATCCGATTTTATGACCAATTCCCCAATTTTGTTTTTGAAAACTATTATGAAAAGAACCCTTTAGAAAGGAAACAGAGTTTAATGAAGCAGAGAGTTCCGTGGGCACCAAGGGAAGGCAGCCCAATCTTCAGGTTGCCTATTTCAGCCAAAGGTTTGCCACCAGGGGTCAGATGGGATTTACAGATGGTTCTTCAAAGCTCCGGACTCTGCAAAACCCTCCCTTAGTGCTACCTGTGAAACTCGATGCTCTCCTTCAGTGAGATGGTTTGGGGAATCTTTGATGTGGGGTCGTGGTGGGAATCCTGTTGCCTGCTGGAGATGAGATTTGTATCTCCTAAACAAACAGACGATTAGAGACAGGAGAGCTAAATTTCAAAGGTTGCTGCCTGTCTTCTCCAGCTGGTGGAAGGAGCCAAGAGAAGAATGCTAATCGTTCGACTATATTCATATTCTTATTATTAGTTTACAAAACATTTGACTGCTATCCTGCCTTGGCTGAACTTTGCTCTGGATTTTGCAGGGATTTCCCATATAAGGACACAGCTTCAGACAGGACTACAAAACGTGATGTTCTCCAGAAGTTTTGGACACCTCTTTTTTTAAATATATATATATATTCCATTCGACCCCCCACGAGTCGAATGGAAGGAGTGATAGTAACATGAAGGAGAATGGAATTGAAGCCAATACACACGGGAGGGATTGTGAAAGTGATAGAGGAAAGGGTGAAACGAATGAGGGGGAAAGAATGGATCGATCAGAGGGGAAGGACGAAAGAACCACTCAGGGTGAAAGGTGTAAGAAAGAACCCTGGATGATCCCGGATGAAGACATCCAGAGACCCCGTAGCAATAAACAGGGAAAGAAGGCAAGACGCTTACACGTGGGTAAAGACAAAACAGGCACCGCGCAGGAGCGCGTGTACCGAGGACCGGTTACGCGCTCGCGTAGCCGGATGCAGGCATGTGAGAATGGTATATAAACCCTCCCAAATACCGCCTCAGCAACCCTGATGATGTCGGGAGAGTCCGACGAAAGCTCGGTTGCCGATAATTTTAAATGTTTTATTGCTTTTAAACTGTTTTTAAACTTTTTAATTGTTTATAAACATTTTAGCTACTCTTGGTGATCGTGATTATTTGGACACAATATGGATGCACCCAAGAGCCGCATTTTTAATTCTATCTCCAGCCATATATACTGTATATATATTTTGCTCCCAGTAGGTATTTCTAAAATGGCAGGGTAGAGAGCCGATACGCATGAGGTAAAAAGTAAATACTGGCTGTTCTGAATTAATTTAATCAGAGACTGGCCTACAACTGCAGAAGTGAGTGGATGACCTGCAGGTATTCATGAAAGCTTGCTTATATTTCAAGCAGACCAATTATCCATGGGACGGGAGGAGGAGGAGGAGGAGAAAAACAAAGGGGTTGCTTGCAGCAAATGGCACTACCCCCCAAGAACATTCAAAACAAGTCAGCTAGGTGACAAAGAAGAATGTGACACTGTTCCCCCAAGGGCCTGGGCAATCTCGTGCAAATCTGTTTTGATCCTTGGCTAAGTGTTTTTTGGTGGAGCAACCAAAAAGGACTTCCCCTGTTTTACTGGTCCATAAGCACAACCAATCTTAACACATGGAAAACTTAGTCCAGAAGATAAGAGTTGTTGACCTATTCTCCAAAGCTCTTGAGGGCAAGACAAGAAGTAATGGATGGAAGCTTGTTAAAGACTAATCCAACCTAGAATTAAGGAGAACACTTCATCAGTGGAATGGTTTACCTCCAGAAGTTGTGGGTGTTCCATCCAGTGTTCCATCACTAGAGTTTTTCAAGAAGAGATTGGAATTGTCTGGAGTGGTATAGGGTCTCCTGCTTGAGCAGGGGGATGGACTAGAAGACCTCCAAGGTCCCTTCCAACTCTGTTATTCTGTATCATGCATAGGGTGGCTAAAAGCCATGGGTTGGCTGCAGAGATCTTCCAAAGTCCTTCTAAACTAGGGGTCTTCAAACTTGGCCCTTTTATGACTTGTGGACTTCAACTCCCAGAATTCCTCAGCCAGCATGCTTGGCTGAGGAATTCTGGGAGTTGAAGTCCACAAAAGGGCCAAGTTTGAAGACCCCTGCTCTAAATGGTCATTTCTCATATGACACAAAGAGAAAATGACTAAGTGCTTGATCGGAGAATGACTATATCCCCTCTCTATTTGATTTTAATTCAATGTAAATGAAAAGAAATGTAGCTTTCATCCTGGTCTTATCCACTGTTTTGGGGTCTGTGGCCCCTAGCATTTCTCTCACAACCCAAGAATAGCTTATGGTTGAGAAAAAGTTGCCTGTCCCATCTTTTCATTCAGACCATCCCCAAGTGGTCCCTGGTTTGGTTGCCAGTAAATAGGTAGTCACTGAGTTCAGTTTTCAAATCCTGTGAATCAGGAACGGTCATAGGTCTCGTGTCCCACAATATAATTGGTGGTGAGCTAACTTCCCAACTTGGTTAAAGAGTTGTGTGCAACTAGAAAAAAAAACAAGTGATTGAAAAAAATATTTGTAGCTCAGGATTGAACTGTGGGGTCCTTGGTGCTCTCTGAGCTTGGTTGTTTTCTTGCAGACATTTCATCACCAAACTAGGCAACCTCATCAGTGCTAAAAAGAACTAAGATAGTGACGCACGAGTTGTCACTACAATTCAACACTGTAGTTGTCACTACAATTCAACTCTCCTGACCAGAAGTGGTCAGGAGAGTTAGGAACAAGGCTGGTCTTGCCTGCCACACATTCAAACTCGAATTCCTTTTTCAACAAAGTGCATGTTGCAATGTCCATCAAGGAATTGAAACTGGGCAGTTGGAAAGAGGTTCTCAAATGGTTAGCAAAACAGCAAGAAAGAAAGACAGACAGACAGAAGGTGTGATGCAAAGGATTGCTAATCCCATCTCTCTGTAAACACCAAGGTATTGTTCCTAAGTTTACAGGAAGATTTATTTCCGAGGGGGAGCCTGTAAATTCTCAGGTTTACTCACAAAGTGAGGCTAGCCAGTTGCTAAGCCCTTTCCTATTATCTATTCCTTCAGTCTTTCAAACAATGAAGTTCTCTAAATTCAATTACTTGACCTGACCTCCTATTTAATCAAACCGGAGAGTCAAAGGCTAAGATGTTAACTACTTGGTCCCTCTGATTTTTAACTAGATCAGGGAAGAGACTTAATACAATCAGTTCCCTAAAGGGTCCTGATTTACATGTTTGCACTTAATGTTATCTGCTGGTCTCTGGCTTAAGAAAAGAGACTTTAATGCAATCCGTGGCTCCGGGCTCTTTTTCATATTTCATGCATGTTCTATGAACCATTAAGAAATCAGACGTCCTTGTGAAAATATGGCTCACAAATGATAAAAGCCAACTGGCTGAGGAATTCTGGGAGTTGAAGTCCGCAAGTCTTCAAGTTGCCAAGGTTGAGGACCCCTGCTCTAAAGGATGACACTGGGATGACCAGGGCAGATCTGAAGGACGCAGTGGGAGAGGCATGGAGAGTGCTGATCCATACAGTGGCCAAGGGTTGGACGTGAATGAATGGCTGATGATGATGACCAAGTCAATTTGAGAGTCCTATCAAGTAAACCCTGTAAGGTCCATTCTAGGACATTTTGCTTCGCTCTTGTTCAACTCAAGAGCCAGCCCTAAGTCTTAGGTATGGTAGCAGCTCAACAGCTGGAAGGAAGCTAAGCAAAGCCAGCTTCAGTTCATTTATTTGCTTGACCCCCGCCCTCCAGCTGTTTTCTCCAGCACCTGCTTGAGCTCAAGTGTCCATCACAAAGGAGAACCTTTCCCACCTCCCTGAGGGTGAGAAGGAGCCCTTTGCCCCTGCTGCCCTCCACCTTCTCTCCCCCAACACCTCCAGCGTTGACCCCTGAACCAAATGGGAGAAAATGACAGCATACACTCCATCACTGTCACTGGGGAATCAAAAGGCTGGCTGGAGGGACTCCAAACATCCGTGCAGCTGGAGGCCTCCTGGTGCTAGAGCTGACCCAGGGAGAGAGTTTAGTCAGATGATCAACAACTGAGCTGAGAGCCAAAGATATGGATCTGATGCCGCCCTCCATGCCCCAAACCCTGGGCTTTCAGTCCTGTGCTGGAGAGTTTTAGCAAAGGAAAATAAGTAAGAAGGAAAGGAGAGCTCAATTGTCCATGGAGATTCTCAATCATCCAGGTTGGTTTGGAAAAGCAAAGGATCTTTTTCCAAAAGGCAGCTGGACTTTCTTGGTTTGATGAACTGAAGAAGCTTCTTGGATGAGAAGAGAAACGTTGTCAAGGAAAAACAAAACAAAACAAGAAAGTCCAGTTGTCTTTTGGAAAAAGCTCCTTTGAGAGAATCCAAAGGATTAATGGCTAGAAACAGGGAGATCCTAAATTCCAGTTATGCCCTAGGCACAAAATCAGCCGGGGGACTTGGCATCAGCCCCTCAGTCTTGGGAGGAAGAAGACAAGGGCCAATCATTTCTAAAAATCTTGCCAAGAAAACTGCAGGGACTTGTCGAGAATTATTGGAAGGCACACGAGCACGATCCCAACTTCGGGTGTACTAATAGCCGATTAAAAAGGCAGAATAGTTGGCCTGGAATTTGAGTTGCCAGAATGCACTCCAGTTTCCATCAGTAAGAAATTACGTTGGTCCATCATTCATTTTAATCCTCATGGCGAATCACATATCAGGCTCACTCGGGGTATTATCTGAGCACCTAAGAGCGAGTCGATTTGAGGAAATCTCGTTCTCAATCTCCAATCCAGCAGGCTTTACCCCACCCCACCACCCACTTAATAAATGTCTATTCATAATTTCTAGGGGAACAGCTGGCAGCTATAAGCCCAGCCCGCCCGCCACATCTGTGGGGGAGGGAGAGGAGAAGGAAAGCCCACATTGAGTTTCTCTGCTCCTGTTGCACTTTCATTGAAACATCCAGAAGCATTCCTCATTGGAGGAAGTGCAAGGTCCCAGTGTGAAAAGTACCACCTCCAACCTGGATCTGAGAACATAGAATAATAGGGTTGGAAAGGACCTTGAAGGTCTTCTAGTCCACCCCCCTTCACAAGCAGGATACTCTGTGTCATTTCAGAAAAATGGCTGTCCAATCTTTTTCTTAAAAACCTCCAGTGGTGGAGCTTCCACAACTTCTGGAGGCAAGCTGTTCCACTGTTGAATTTGTTCTCACTGTCAGGAAATTTCTCCTTAGTTCCAGGTTGCTTCTCTCTTTGATTAGTTTCCATCCGTTGCTTCTTGTCCTGCCTTCTGGGGCTTTGGAGAATAGGTCCACCCTCCCTCTTCTCTGTGACAACCCCTCAAGTATTAGAAGAGGTGCTATCATGTCACTCTTGTCCTTCTCTTTGCTATATTAGACAGTCCCAGTTCCCACAACCATTCATTGTACAATTTAGTCTCCGGCCCCGTAATCATCTTTGTTGCTCTTCTCTGTACTCTTTCTAGTGTCTCAACATCTTTTTTTTTTTGTATCGTGTAACTATAGATGATTGTAAAAATCAAAGGAGTGTGCAATTTCATGACTAAGATGGTTCTTTCGTGGGTTGACCAAAGGGCCAGTTTTTCCTATGGGCTAAGGAGGATTCAGACACTCCAACAGCCCATCTGGGCCAAGATGAGGCATTTGATAGTGTCCCAGAGGCACTGCTTACCCTCTCCACAAAAAAAAGACTGTTTACATCTTGGCCAAATTCTCCCAAGATCAAATTCAAGTCCCACCTTCTCCCAAACTCAGACCTGGCTGAATCACACTCTCTGTTTCCAAGTCTTATTTCTTCCAAGTTAGATTCTTCTGCTAAAAATTACTAGGTCAAAAGGGTTCCTGATCCTTCAAGTCCTGCAGATGTTTTGAGAAGGCCTTCTCATCAACACCAGTGGTTAACGAGATTTGCCTCAGAAGTAGGAATTGAGCCCCAAGAATTTCTATATTTGTGGAGTTCCCTCCCTCCCTCCTTCCGTCTCTCTCTCTCCCCACCTCTTCTCGTGAGTTCCCGCTCCAAACTTTCCTTAATTACAAACTGTAAAATGTGGAAGGGGAGACATTGCTACAACAGCTGGTAACTGGAACCCTTAAAAAAACAACCAATAAACTCTCTCTCTCTCTCTCTCTGCTGGAGACACACGCTAGTGATTGTAGGCTGTCCATGTTCCAACTCCGAGCTGTCTCTCCACAGAGGTTTCCTGAAGCAGCTTTTAAAATAAAACTCTATCCTTCTGTCATGGTGGGGTGGCCTGAATGATCTCAGTTTCAGCTTTGTGTGGGAACAAAGCAGCTGCTCTGAAGTGAGGCCAATTGCCAAAGAACCCTGAGGTTGTTGGGTTTTTTTTGCTCTGTCTGCTTCCTGCAGAATCTCAGTGACCTACAAGGGCTCCTCAACATACAGGTTAGAATAGAATAGAACTGGAAGGGACCTTGGAGGTCTTCTAGCCCAACCCCCTGCTCAAGCAGGGGACCCCCCATACTATTCCAGACAACTGGATGTCCAGTCTTTTTTTAAAAACTGCCAGTGATGGAAGCACCCACAACTTCTGGAGGCAAGCCATTCCACTGATTAATTGTCCTCACTGTCAGGAAGTTTCTCCTTAGTTCTAGTTTGCTTCCCTCCTTGATTAGTTTCCACCCATTGTTTCTTGTCCTGCCCTCTGGTGCTTTGGAAAATAAGTTGGCCCCCTCTTCTTTGTGGCAGCCCCCCAAATATTGGAAACACTGTTATCATGCCCCCCTAGTCCTCCTTTTCTCCAGACTGGCCAAACCCAAATCCTGCAACAGTCCTTCATCTGTTTTAGTCTCCAGGCCTTTGATCATCTTAGTTGCTCTTCTCTGCCCTTTTCCCAAAGTCTCAACATCTTTTTTTGTAGTCCTCAACTTACAAACATTGGTTTCGTGACTGCTTGGCGTTACTGAAAAAGTGACTTACAACCAGCTCTCGCCCTTACAACCAGTGCAGCATTCCCATGGTCATGTGATCCAAATTGACTTGGGAACCAGCAAATATTTTCATAAGTGATCACCGTTTGTCACCTTCCCAGCTGGCTCCCGACAAGCAAAGTCAACGGGGAAGCCGGATTCACTTAACCACTGCATGATCCACTTAACAACAAATCAGGCATGATGCGCTTAACAATCAACTTGCTTAGCAATGGAAATCCGGGTCCTGATTGTGGGTTGTTGTTTTTCTTCTTAGCTTATAGTATAAAATACAAAAATAGGAAAACGAGTAGTAGGGAGGTGATCAGCCACCTGGGAAAGCCAAGGGAAATCATCAAAACAATTAAAAAACGAAAATTAGAATATTTCGGACATGTGATGCGACACCCAGAAAAATACGGCATACTCCATTTAATCCTCCAGGGAAAGATTGAAAGCAAATGAGGTCCAGGCAGAAGAAGAACATCATGGCTTCAAAATCTAAGGGACTGGTTTGGACAAAACTCAGCAGCACTTTTTCGTGCGGCTGCTGATAAAAACAGGATCGCCAACAGGATCGCCAACGTCCGATAACGGATATGGCAGAAGAAGAAGAAGAAGAAGAAGAAGAAGAAGAAGAAGAAGAAGAAGAAGAAGAAGAAGAAGAAGAAGAAGAAGAAGAAGAAGAAGAAGAAGAAGAAGAAGAAGAAGAAGAAGAAGAAGAAGAAGAAGAAGAAGAAGAGAACAAAGGTGAGGAGAAGGGAAAGAGAGAAGTATGGAAGAGAGGAGGAAAAGAAAAGAACAGTTGACTTCCGACTGTTGTGGCAGAATAAGGCATTAGCACCGAACCTCAACTTTTTACTTTCCCATCATAGTACAAATTCGCCATTTCTTATAACAGCAAATCAATCTAATCAGTAAAGCCCCAAATCAAAGTTTCATTTTTTTTCCACCTCAAGCACAAAGTCCAGAAGCCGTCTCCGAGCAGAAACAAAAGGACTTCTGTTCTTTTCTTTAACCAAAACGGTCAGTTTAGCCATCTCTGCTAACTCCACCATTTTTTAAGTTGACGACTACCTGTATCTCCCCTGCAGAGATTGATTTGTTCAGAATGATATTTTTTTTTTTTTAACTGGGGGCAAGGAGAAGAGAGATACCTGGTCCTTTCAGGAGCTCTTCAAGAGAATCTTGCTTTCAGGTTTTTCAAAGGAAGGGGGGAAAGTTCAGGGTTGCAATAAGCTGGGTCTCTCACTCCATGCACGTGTGTTATAATTCAGAGGGCTAGATCCCTCTGAACAATCAGATTTATCACTCCTGAGGGATCAGCCAAACTTGTGATACTTAAACCTGCAAATGGACATGAAGGGTTTTTTTTTGTAGGGAAGCCTACAGATTCCATACCTGCCTTTGCTCTGGGAAGAGCTGGGATGCAGGTTGTGCAACAAGTTAACTAGGCTGGCTGGTTAATGATGGAAGCCATAGCCTAACCTATTTGCAGGACCACCAAATTGGATGCTAGTATGGCTGTGAAAGTTGGACCATAAGAAAGGCGGAGCGCCAAAGAATTGAGGCCTTCGAACTATGGTGCTGGAGAAGACTCCTGCGGGTCGCCTGGACTGCAAGGCGATCAAACCGGTCAGTCCTAGAGGAGATCAACCCCGACTGCTCTTTAGAAGGCCAGATCCTGAAGTGGAAACTCAAGTACTTTGGCCATCTAATGGGAAGGAAGGACTCACTGGAGAAGAGCCTGATGCTGGGAAAGATGGAGGGCAAGAGAAGACGGGGACGACAGAGAATGAGGTGGCTGAAGCAGGAGGCGTGAGCTTCAATGGACTCCAGAAGATGGTAGAGGACAGGAAGGCCTGGAGGAACGTTGTCCATGGGGTCGCGATGGGTCGGACACGACTTCACAACTAACAACAACAACAAGGGATGACACTCAATAAGTTGGATCAACAGTCCAGTTCCTCATTTAGCAGTCTTTGTAGCACAGCGGCTGGATTCACACATTGTTTTGTGACATAAATATGGTTCTTTGTGTTGACCTAGCCTTTTCAGACAATGGTCAAGCACACAGCATATGACATGAAGTCCTAGGGCTGGGTCCACCAATCATCTAGGCTCGGTTTGGTTTTGGCTTGACATAAGACATTAATCGAGGCCGTTACTGAACAGAAACTATGCTTTACGGCTTAATGTGTTGTGTAAACCAGAATCATGGCTTGTTCCTCAAGCTTTGGCTGAAGCAAGCCACTGCTTAGCACCAGATACGAATCTAAGCCAACTGTGGTGAAGATCCCAGGCAGATTGTCTAGACACGATGAAGACCTTTTATAGGGAACCTGCTACAGAAATCCAGTTTTGCTCTGTCAAAGTAAAGCAAAATTGAAGATAACGTTTTACACTCTCAAATGTAGGGAAAAAAGCAAGCAAGAGAGGGCTTACATGTGTATGCAATATAATGTTATGGCAGTTTCACACCACTTAGGTCGGCTTCAATTCCAACTTTAAAAGTACCTCTTCAAAGGGCACACCCAGCCCTTATATCAGCGGTTCTCAACCTATGGGTCGCGACCCCATTTGGGGTCGATCGACCATTTCACAGGGTCGCCAAGCAAGGCTGTCCGCCATTTTTTTCCCCTTTTCCGGCGGGTGCCTTACCTCCCTTGAGCTGGGCCAGATGGTGGTCGGCCTGCTCCGTCTCTGCCGCTTGCCAGCTACGCCTCGGCCGGTGCAGGGGGCGGAACCACGC